GAGCTGCGCTGCTTCTGCAGGGCTCCTGAGAGCCGCATCCACAGCTGCGGTGGGGAGGGGCCTCACTCAGCTTGCCCTGCACCCCAGGGCCCGCCCATGCCCCCCACCCCAGCTAGGCACCCACCTGCGGCCTCATGCTGTGCGGGATGCCGGCCAACACCAGGGAGCGCAGCTTCTCCGAGCGGGGCAGGGAGACCGCAATCTTGTCCCAGGTGAGGTCTCCCACGTCGTGGTTGTGGGTGAACTCCAGGTGGGCCTGCCACTTCAGGGTCTGGGGACACGGCTGCACTAAGCTCTCTTGTGGGGCTTCATCCATGAGCCTCTTGCTGCCACTCCGCGGCCGGCCCTCCTGCCCCCCACCCCCCGCCCCCACACTGAGTCCCTCTCCACCTCCAGGCCAGCTGCCTGTAGGGACGAAGTGGCTCAGGGACACTGGGAAAGGGGCCCCGCCCGTACCGTGATGATGTCATTCTTGCGGAAACCTAGCTCGTCGTCGTCATGCCGCTCAAAGTCCAGCAGGGCCTTGGCGCGGCGCCGGTGGCTGCGGGAGCAGGCCACGTAGTTCTCGTGGTCCCGCTGGTGGCTCTCCATGCTATAATCCGGGGTCAGCTCCTGCCAGCAGCAGGGGCGAGGCTGGCCTGAGGCCCAGGGAGCCACAGCGTGCTGGGGGAAAAGGGGTGTGGGCACCGCCACTCACCACACTAGTGTTTTTGGGGTCTGTGCTTTGGAAGTGGCGGGCCACACGCACAATGGCTTCCCGCAGGTCGGCCACCAGCTCCGTCTGCTTGATGTTCTTGGCCTTCAGAGCCTCCAGGTCATCCTCCCCTGGGGGGCAGAAAGGCAGTGCAACCAGGCCCAGACCTGGCTCCTTCCCTTCACGGCACCCCCACCCCTACCCCGACTAGCGTTCTCACCAAAGAGCAGGGAGCTGATGCCTGACTTCCTGCGCTGGGCCCTGCGACGAACCACCTGTGGCAGGGACAGGGTGGCTTAGTGGGGCCTGTGTGTCGGAGCCCAGGGGGAACCCGTTATGATGGTGCCCTCCCACCAGAGGTGGCCCCGGGTCAGCAGGTCAGAGGGTTCGAGGGCAGCACAAATGTGGCTGGACCAGGTCCTGCAAGGTGCTGGTGCTGAAGCTGGGGGCAGGGCAGCCCCATGTGGGCATTCTGAGTATGTGGGTGGCCACCCGACTCCTGGTCCACCTGAGAGAGGTTGGAGGAGGCGCTGGTTCCCAGGAGCTGGCCCTGGTCAGCGATGAGGTAGGCCAAGTGCTTGCGACGCTGGGTCTCTACAGTCACATCAGTGAGGGAGCCGGCCAGCCTCATGGCTGCTCCCAGCAGCAGCTCCGCATCGTCCATCTGCGATGGAATGTCCGACAGCGTGTTGAAGATGGAGGCTGAGTTCTCAGACTGGATCAGCTCCTCCTCCTGAGCCAGAAGAGGATGAAGCGGGCAGGGTCACTGCCAGGCCCCAGGCTCCCCACTGGCCCCAGATGGATGGGCGGGTGGGCAGGGCGGCCACCTTGAGGTGCAGCATGCCGAGGGTGATCTGGAAGAGCACTCGGGAGCCTTCGTAGAAGAACACGTCCCAGATGCGCAGCAGCAGCCGCAGGCGCACCACGCTGGCAAAGGCCGTCAGGAACCAGTGCAGCGTGATCAGGGACAGCTCTGGGGACACATGGCGCCGGTTGGGAGCCAAGGGCAGCCCGGGGGGAGAGGGGGGGAAGGGGTGAGCCAAAGCCTACAACACCCAGAGCTGCAAGATGCCCCGTGGGCTGCAGGGCGAGTCAAAGAAAGCAGCAGCGTCGGCTCAGTCGCCCATACCGATGTCGTGCTCCCGGAGCAGCTTGTCCAGCCGGGGCAGGTACTGGACGATGAGGTGGCGCAGCACGCGCTGGTCCGTCTGCACGCCCAGCAGGGTGGTGCTGAAGTAGGAGGCGGGCAGTAGGTCCTCGACAATGGCGCACATCATCCAGAAGGCTGCCTCCTCCTCCAGGAACAGGAGGAGGCAGGCGGCCACCTGATGGGGGGGTGGGGGAGGGCATCACATGGAGCCACGTCAGGACCCGAGAAAAGGCCTGCACCCCACCCCCACCTCGAGCACCGAGCCCTGCTCACCATGCCCGTGCCCTGGCAGTAGCCGATCTCGGGGTAGAGCCAGGCCAAGGCGCGGAGGATCCTGCGCAGGCGTGGCACCCCACTGCTGCCGGCGTTGGCGAAACAGGCGTTGGCAGGCATGGTGCGCAGCAGGTCCTTCTCAATCTATCAGGCAGACCGTGAGCCCCAGCGGGCAGCAGGCCTGAAGACCCTCCCAACACTACTGCCACCCGGAGATTGCTTACCTGGGTGCCCCTCCACCCGCACCTTCAGGGTGCGATCCCCACTAGGGAGAGGCCACTCGGACCTTCTCGCCAGATGAGACCGCACACACCCGGGCCAAGGGCCAGCCCATGCGGGTGGTGGTGCTGGCCGGTTGATCCTGGCTCACAGTGGCCCCGAGGGGAGGAGAACTACCCATAGGGTTCACGAGGTGGCCTGGGACCAGTTGCACCCTCCTCCCGACCAGCGACCCCTCAGTTCCCCTCAGCAGCTGAGTGTGTCCAGAAATGCCCCAAGGAGGGCAGGACTTCGTCTGTAAAGCCCTCCCTGAAGAGTACACCTGTCCAGCAGGTTTGGGGAACCGACACTGCCCCGTGGCCCGTGTCTGAGAACTCCAGAAAGGCGTGTGGGTGAGAGGCTATCTGCGTGCTGGGAGCTCAGGAGGGGCAAGCCGGCTTCCCACCCTCACCTGCTTGGCAGCGATGTTCTCGTCATTGGAGCTGTTCTTCACCATCTCTCGGTAGGAGAGCTC